GACCAACAAGGAGCTAATACCAAAAAATATATAAAAAGGTCATGCTACTCAGTGTCAAGAAAATACACACCATCCAATTTAAAAGTGTGCAGAAGTCCTCAATAAACATCACAAAGACATAGAAATGGCTAACAGGGACATCTTGAACATGTTTTCAACATGTTCAACACTGCTAATTATTAGAGAAATGGAACCAAAATAATGATGAAATATTACCTCCCACCTGTCAGCATGACTGTCAGCAAACATTCTACAACTACCGTATGTTGGCAAGGATGTGGAGAAAAGGGAACACTTTGTACACTGTTGGTGGAAATGTAAACTGGTGCGGCCACTAGGGAAAACAGTATTGAGGTTCCTGAGAAACTAATTAGAACCAGCATATGATCCAGCAATTCCACTCCTGAATATATATCCAGGAAATACAAAACCACTAATCCAAAGTTCACAACAGCATTATTTACAGAAACCCTGACATGGAAGCAACCCAAACGACCATCAACGAATGGATAAAGCTTTGCTGTATACATAAACACTGTAGTATTAGCTGTGGCATAAAACGAATAAAATTCTGCTATTTGTAGCCAGTCGGACGGAGCTAGAGAATATTATGCCTAATGAAATAAGCTAGACAGAAAAAGACAAGTACTGTATGGTATCACTTACATGTGGAATCAAAAAATAATACAACTGAACATATGTGAAAAATAGGGGGGAACATCTCACAAATAAACTAGTTGTTACCAAAGGAGAGGAGGGGATGTGGGGCAAATTAGGGGTATGGGATTAAGAGAGACAAGCTACAATGTATAAAATAGATAAGCAAGAATGATATATTGAATAGGACAAAGAATTATAGCCACTATCATGTAATACCTTAATGGTGTGTAATCTAATAATATTGAATCATTCTGTACAACTGAAACTAATAAAATATTGTACATCAATTATATTTCAAATAAAAAATTAAAAATAATAAATTTTAAATGACCAGTTGAATTTTCCACATGTAACTGATAGAAGTGTGTGTGTGTGTGTGTGTGTGTGTGTATAAATACTTGTATATATATGTACATCTATGTATATATATAACTTGCTTGAGATTGATGGAAGCTGACAAAATCAGTTGCCTTTTAAATATGTCAGCAATACAGCAGCCCTTAAGCACATTGGATGAAGCTAAGAATTCCACTGGTGTGGCACGACACTGAAACCTGTGCTGGGCAACAGCCCACCTGCCCTCTGTCTAAGCACGACCATGACTGTATGTCCTGCATGAGTGTCTAGCAGATCCCCTCACAAGGGGTGTCATCAATGTTGCACCCTACTTGGGTGCCTGGGAACAGCTGGATCCAATTAAATTCTTGCCAGCTGAGGTTGTATGTGATGGCTGAACTTCCGAGGTACCCCGTGGACAACTGAGTAAAGATGTACAGTACTGAGTTCCTGTGTAGGTGGAGGGGCTGTTGAAACAGGCACTGAATAGAACACACATAACAGCAAAGTACCGGCCTGTGAAGACTGAACAGCCTCATTCATTTGAATCATGTGAGGTATTGGGGTCTGAGAGATGGGACCAACAAAGCAGTAATCCACCATGAGATGCCATTCCTCCTAGGAACCTAACACCTACGGTGGTGTCTCACACCTAAACAAAATTGGTTATTTCTCACTTCAAGGTAATAAACCTTACTTGTAGATTAAATATATTTTTTGATACATCTTTCAACATGATTTCTGGCCTTCTTAAAACTTTGCTCATTTCATTGACTACGTTCTCTTATTTTGCCAACTACTTCCTTTTGTTATTTTCTCTTTAAATTTACTTAAAAATGTTCCTGTAAATATGTATGAGGATAAATTTAACACAAATGTTTTCCTCCCCACCTGGGTAAGTCTGAAGGGAAACAGACTGTACGGTTGTGGATCCTTCCAGTGATGTTCACATTCACTGACATCCAGTAGCGTCTCTTCTCACTTGATCTGATCTCCCGGTTGTTTGAGTCACTCCATAGCACTGTCTTGGCTCCTGTTAGAGGCCTGAGTACAGAGGTGTGGTTGTAGCTCTGAAGGTGCACACTTCAAGGCCCAACCCTGGATCTGCGGAAAAGCAGATTTCTACCCCAAAATATTAGTGCTAATTGGACTTGTCATTACAGCATGTACCCAATATGGACAACTAAAATATGATAGGCAGAGCAAAAGAGAGATTTCAATTAATCCTAGTTTATATACACTGAATAACTTTAGAAATTAGGGGCTAAAATTTGCCCCTCTGTTAAATATGGGTGATAATATTGAGAATTTCTAAAGTTAAAACGCTTTAAATTATAACTGCTCCCTCGGAATGTTTTAAAATTTATTGAAATTCCCCAATCATTTTACAGTACCCCAGTTATTATGAATTATGTTGAATTACTTACGGCTTTTCTGTCAACAAGAACAAAGACGCAAACTTCCAGAGGATTCATACTTAAAACAGTGTAGTTTTGACTCCAAAATAAAATGGAAAATTCCATCTCAATTTTTAATGTGCATTCTTACTGATCCTTTGAGGAAAATGTCTTCAAAGTTTTTTTTCCCTCAAGAATTGCCTGTACTTTAAGTAGCTTGTCTGCTCTGTTTCTGTTTTTTTAAATAATTGATGTATTTAACTGAATAATTTACTGAGTAAGTGCAAATATTATAGACTGTCTTTTGTTTCCAATGAAAATTTTGTTTCAGGCATGTAAGGATGTATCAAAACATCAAAATGTACATTTAAATATGTGCAGTTTATAAGTTAATTATACTTTCATTAAACAAATATTCAAGACATCACTTTCTAATAATTGTACTATGTTTTATATCATCTGTGTCCTATAGGTTATTGTGGCTACTGGACAATTATGGTGGAATTAGAATGACATACCTCTGGCAATTCTTCCTAATTCCATGTTTAGTGATACAATGTTGGCAGTTTGAAACTGGCCACAGTGGGCATATTTCCATCAGGGAAATTAGAAAACAGTGCAAACCAGGACTTAAACTTGTGTTACTGGAAGTCCACACTTAAGAATATGGGACTAATACAGATTAAACTTAGTATATCGTGTATGTGATAATTACGTTGTATACAGCATGCAAAGTAACTGTGGGGAAAAAATGAGCTATTTATTTGCTAATGAAAACGGAAATGAGCAAGAGATATGAGCAGACATTTTACCAAGAAGATACACAGATGGCAAAAAAACAGGAAAAAAAATGTTCAACCTCATGAGTCCTTAGGCAGATGTAATTAAAACTACTGCTTATTAAATTCAACAATTAAGAAATTCAAAAGATTGATCATATTAACTACTGGCAAGAATGTGGAAGCATTTTACATACTCCTGGTGTGTATGTAAATGCAAACATTTTATGTCACAGTCTGGCAGTTTTATAAGTTAAACTTTCACCTATTCTATGACTTAGGCATTGTACATTAAGTTACTAACACAAGTGAAAAAACATATATACATACATATAGAATTTACATGCAAATATTCTAGCACCTTTATTTACAATAGCCAAAACGAAAAAACTTAAATTGCCCATAACCAGGTGAATGGATAAACAAAAAATATAGAAAAGACTCTACTCATCAATAAAAAGAATGAACTATTTAGATAAGGATCACAGAAGAATCTCAGAATATTTATAAACCGTGGATGAAACCAAAAAACAAAAAGCACAGTAAACATTTTATGAATAAAATCTTATCAAATTCTAGAAAATACAAAATAATCTATTATAAATGAAAGTAAATCAGTGGTGGTCTGGAGGTCCAGGGAGAGGAAGGACACATAAAATGACATGAGGTAAATGGGGATGATAGACATGTTCACTGTTGATTATTTTGAGGTTTCATAGGTTTATATGTAGGTAAAAGTTTATACACTTTAAATAGATACAAGATACTGCATCTTGACTGTATCTGAAAAATTTACAAAACGGTTCAAATGAAAAGTCTAGATCTATCACTGTTTTCAGAAAATCAGGTCTGGCAATCATATTAATTTTTTTTTTTGAATTGAAGTATAGCTGATTTACAATGTTAGTTTCCGATGTACAGAGTAATTCAAGTATATGTATACGTATGTGTGTATATACATATACACACATAACTTGCTTCTCTTTTCTAATGACCTGGGAGAAGCACCCTTGCCTTAGTGGTAGCAAATACTGATGAGCAATTCATCCCTTCCCCCTGAGTTAGCAGGAATGCTGGCTAGTCACAGACACACTTCTCTGCCTGCTTAGCAATGGCCTTTCCTGAACATTCCAGGGAGACTACAGGAATCCACAAAAGCAATAGTGTATTTTCTCTCACAATGACCTCAGCCACAAAAGACACACATGCCTGGAGGTCCTGAGGACTT